GCAATGTTATAAACCAATGTTACTGCAATAAAAAAAAAAAAAAAAAAAAAACAAAAAAAAAACCATAAGGACAATAAAAAACATGTAAGTGCACGGCAATATAAGTCAAATATGTTCAGAAGTGCATACAGTAGCCAGGCATTGTTATGATAGAAAACTCACACCACTTAAGATTTTCTCCACAAGTCCTCTAAATCATAATCATCTATGCTTTTTTCTATAGGTACACAGTGTTAGTTGATCTCTAGAAGATTTTTAGCATAGATTAGTTGAAATCCTATTTGGAAATGAGTATTATTATTATTTTAAAATATCAGTGTTAGATAAAAGCAATTTGAATAGATCAAAATATATTTCAAGGCCATGTATAACTATTCATAAAAATATTAACTTACTTTAAATTTGCACCTCACTGAAAGATTATATAGGAATCTAGCTGGAGATTAAAAGACTGCATTTGTAGTGAACACTTCAATATTTGAAGAGTATTTGTAAATTAACATTGCAATGAAAGTCAGTGTAAAAAAACAGAAAATACAACTTGACTTCAACCAAGTATGAAATATTCAAACACAGTAAAAACTTGATTTCATAGTTATGATCACAAAGCATACATAATTGAAATAATTCATTATCACATATAAAATGTATGGACTTCACCAACATCGTGACTTTAAAAGACAAACCAAACATTTGATTTTAAAGTATTTTAAAGGTTGTTTATTAATAATGAGTCTTAGAGTTTTTCCAGACTCAACTGTCTTCCAATCTCTAATTTTTTTTTTTTGTTAGTGACTCTACTCTTTGAATAATTTTCACTTTTGAAAAATAACAGAAAATAAAAAGTATCTGTAGGAGAGAGACAGGAGTAGCGGAGATGGGAACTTGTCAAAAGTTTGCTGGGCATGAAATTCAACAGACAAAGGAGCAAGAAGAGACACAGAGGACTCTGGGGAACAATGATGAAATTCAGACACGCTCCTCTCCTTTTCTTACTTTTTCTTCAGGACTCCTTTTATGTCCGGGCCTACTTTTTGTTTTACTTACAAAATTATCTGCATAGGGACCAAGCTCTTGCTGTTGGTAACATAAGCCACTCATTCATCAGTCTATTCATTTAACAATTACTTATTGAGATTCTACCATGTTCCAAACACTGAGGATATAAGGCAAAAAGCAAACATGGTTAAGCATGGTTATGGGCTTTTGATTAATTTTTCATGGATTATATAACAGGAATATCTAAAGTAGTTTGGGTAATTTGTGGCTCCTTAAACACTGGTTTATTTTGGTTTTCTCCACACCCTCAAAAGCTTTCTGAAGTGTGATCTTGATCCTGAAGAAATTCTCAAAAGATAGAATGGAGGCTTTAGGCAAACATGAAGAAAGGAACAAAAATGTTAGTCTAAGATGTGCATCAAGATTAATTCAGCAATAAAATAAACTCATTTTTAACATCAACAGTTTTCTCTCCAATTGTATTTCTCTGAGAAATATAATAAATCCAAAAATATAGGGATAAAACAAAATTGTACATAACCTGTAAGCCCCATAAAGGTAGACTTCTGTTCACCCAAAAGATATGAGACCTATGAAAAGAATGACAAGATGTTAGTTTTAAAAAATGTGAGAAATGCATTCATTTTAAAATTTCAATTGAAAAGGGAAATAAATAATGCTAGCATAAAAAGACAATAAAATGTCAAAATTAAAATTAGGAAACTTCATATTGTTTCAGTTTTCTTTTAGATAATATTCATTTCTGTTCCAGGAAAAAACTCTTTTAATTTCGTTTTTGGTCTCATGTTAATAATAAAAGAAAACATAATGGGGCCTTATTTAAAGAGTGATTATGCAAGGGTAGAAAAACCTCAAACCTTTTACCAGTCAATTCTCCATTGAAAAGTCACGTAAGTGTCTTCCATAAACTCTAAGATTTTGTTATTTTTAAAGCTGTTAATATTTTGGCAATACAAATTCAACAGTATAAATAATCAGAATAAAATCAGTAACTCAGATTATAGAGCACATTAATATTTTGAATTTGGATTTTTATAAAACATTTAACATATCACCAAAAAAAACCTGTGATTGACATTAGCATAGAACATTATGCAGGATAAGGAGTGACTGTCCTTAAATAACTCTTAAAAATCGTATTATCTCTGATGTTAAAAACTGTTTATACTCTTCAAGAACACCATACACTCCTAATGTCCCACTAGTTATAATTTTTCTCTATTTATACCCTACCCTTATCTACCTCATTTGTTGTACAGTTGACTCAAATGGGGGGTCATTCACAGCAATATAATCTACTTGGGAAAAGATGAAAACAGTTACATTATGCTGCCAAAAAAATGCAAAATGCAGATCAAACAGAACAAAGACTACTCACTCTCTAGTTATGAAATATTGGAGGAGCCCCATAAAATATTAAGTGTATTTTTAAATCTTTAAGTCATTTTCTTTTTGGTAATATGTTAAACGATAACAAAGAGCAATAAACTTTGGAAAATTCTTATTTTAAAAAGAATTATAAAACTTTAAAATATTATTCAAAGAAACTACCTAGTATATTCAACTAAAGTACTCTGTAATACCAAAATGTCACATCTACCAGAGTAATTGACATCTTCAATTGCTTCAAATTAAACCTGTGACTTTTCTCCCAAAAACTGGTCCTCAGTTTTTCATATCTCAGTAAATGGCACCAAATTCTATTATGTTTGATTACCCAAAAACTTAGACGTCATCTTAATATATTTTCCGATCTTGTATTTGTAAATACTTACTATATTAGTCATCAAACCTTTTCAATTCTTCCCATCAAATGTCTGTAGAATTTATCTACCTCTCTTCATCTCTACTACCAGAACCAACTTAATCTAAACTATTATTTTTTGCAATATGTCTCTTACAAAAGCCTATCAACTGGGACCCAACGCCTCCTTCTTTTGCCTTCTACATTTTTTTCTCCAAATTACAACCATGCTGATTCTTTCTAAATGCATTTTGATCACAGTGCCCCACTGTGTGTTGGTATTACACTTTTGTTAAGATCAAGACCAAAACTCTTAACATGGCACTCTTAGACTTATTCAACTGTGACATGCTCCTTCCTATCACAACACTTTTTACGTTGCTTTTCCCTCGTCCTAGGCTCTGAGCTCAACCCTGTCTCAGGAAAACCTTCTCTGAGGCTTCCACTTGATCAATGCAGTCAACTCATCTCAGGCCACGTCACTCACCATACCTCTCCTGCCACTTATCTCGGTTGTAACTTTATATGTTTGTAAATCTATTTCTTAATAGATGTCTTCTCACTAAACTGCAAGCTCCATAAGATGAAACAGTGTGTCTATTTTACTCACCATTGTAGTCCCAATGTTGTTCTGAGTACATGTGGATAGTAGGCTAGGCATTCAATATAAACAAACGGATGGTGCCAGTAGAGGCAAAAATACAGCTGATGTCTTTTCCAAAATACATCTCTTATATTCTCAATGACGTTTGAGAAATCAGACCAAAACAAGGTATGAAGGAGTAAAGAGTGATAGATACATAGTTCTGTAGATAGAAAAATGATGTGCTACAAAAACTACTAAATAGTTAAGTAGACAGCAATATCTGGAATACTATAAAATAAATTGCTGAACAGAAGTTTGTGAGCATTTTAGAAAGGAAATTGGTAATTAACATGGATTTACTAAAAGCTAGTTATACCAAACGAAAGGCATTTTCTTTGGTCTGGGATGTTGTTTTCACAGGTCTTGAAATATCATAGAGTATTTAAATTTAAATAAGACTTTGAATAAAAGATTTTTATGGACATGATTATGTCATGTGGAATAGGTTTCATAATCCGTAAACAACACTTCCAGAAATCTCTAATATATAAATTTCAATGGGAAGTGAGATCTCCAATGAAAAGCTGTCTCTTTTGCCCATTTACTAAGCACTAAAGTGGATAAATACATAGAAGGAAAATGTACAGTTTCTAATAAAAGCTAATGTCCAAACTCTCCTTCATAAAATGGATTTACGATGAAAAAAGAAAGTGGGATCTGATCTGCACATTCCTAGATAACGTCCAAAATAAAAGAGGGGTGAAACTGAAATAGGAAGCCAGACCATAACTCTAAATGAAGCTTCAATCCCATTGACAAAAAAGCACTAGGTAGAAAGAAAACCTGTACGTGAATATCTATTGCAGTGTCAAGTATAGCAGGAAAGTAACCAGAATCTACCTGAATACTCAAGAAGAAGAGAAATAGTAGCCTCATGATCATTAACAGTAGCAAAAATGCTGTAAATGAGAAAAAGGGCATTGATAAAAATGATGTATATACTATTATCCTAACTACGTCAGTATGAGTGTGTTATATATCTGTGTGTATATGTAGAGAATTTACAAAAGATTGGTCATCAAAATACTAAAAGTGCTTATTTATAGGTGTTGAGATTTTAGATAATTTTTACCTTCTTTTCTCTTGCCATATTTATTTGTATTGTAACATTCATGAACCATTGATAGAATAATAAAAAATAAAGTTCACTTTTTTAAATTATAAAAAAGAAAGCAACTAAAGCAAACATAAAAACAAAATTGATATTCTGAAATATTTATATTAAAATTAGTAAAATAAAATTATGAAATGTGTCTTATTCTGAATTAAACCAGGCCTATAGAGAAAATTCATGTTTGAAGCATCATTGTGAGAACTGGAAGAGCCATCTCAAACTACGGAAATCATGGCAGAAGTCAAACAGAGAAGGTTCGTGATGTGTAGCCTCAGCCACTTTTCACAGCACGCTTATTTATGGTTTCTCCTAAAGGTAAGAAAATAGCTGTTGAAAATGTCAGATCAGCTTTGGCAGCTGAGGTGGAGGTCGGGGGGTGAATACGTTAACCAGAAGGATAAAGCATTTGGTAAACACATGAAAGTAATAGGGTCAACATGCGGGTCATAATTCATGTGAAAAGACCTGTGCATCACAAAGTTGAGATGCACTCAGATTGATAGCTCACCAAAAAAATGAACGCAAGCTTGTATTGTATTAACAAAACTGTAGTATACTAAACCAGAGAGGAACATTACAAAACTCTCCTAAACATAAAAAATACCAAGAACTGAATAACAGGTATGGTACTAGGCCCACATTTCATGGACATGCAAAATTTAGTATGTGTCCAAAACTGAGGTGACTAGGATACTGAAGCATGGTAGGGTCTTGACAATACATTAGGAAGATTTTTCAATAATGGAATGCTTTCAAAACACTGGATGGACTTCATACCAGGTTAGACAACCAACTGTCAGTATGTTGTGGAGAGGACTAAACACTGACTCTTTGAGAGAACAGACTTTAAGGGTCTTTCCATCAGACGTACACTGGCTGAGGCAGAGGTGGCTTTCTATCTATCAACATGCATGCTCCTCCTTCCACGGTATAGAGGTGAGTGTAAAAAGCCCCTCTTCAGCCAAAGGTGGCATTTCTCAGCCTTTGTGTCAAGGTATAAAGATGTGATTGATTCTCACATGAGATCTGAGTATGAAATACAAGAAAATCATGCTTGTCATTTGTTGGCCAAGAATTTTAAAAAGTGTATGTGACTTCTTTATGCTCTCCTTACCTTTCTGGAAGCTGATTACAAAGGATTCTTAGGTCTTAGGACAGCACAGAGCCACAAAATGGCTTGTATGTATAATATTGTACTTACCATACTATATTTATGTATTGTATTGTATAGTGTGTGTGTGTGTGTGAATCACCACATGGAGAAAAGGTCTACACTGACTAGGAAAACTAACATTAGACTCTAGGAAACAAAAAAATCCTTTTGAATTTTTGAGATTATGTGTTAGAGTACTTGATGCTACTTTAATCTATACTGGAACCAATATACACGAGAGAAGAAAAGGTCTACATTACACTATTCATTCCTATTGGTCATCAGATATTTAAAAGATATTGTCAAAATTTTATTTCTTCTTTTAATGGTTGTTACCTTAAAGAAGAAATAATCTTTAAAATTTGAATGTCACCTGAACACATTTGTTGCTATATTAGGCACTGATTTTAAATGCAAATCCGAATTCCACAAAATATAAGCACATTCATGTGTTTCTTACCTTTGTCTCTATCACTTGATGTTAAAAACTAATAATCACTTTGACAGCTTTTAAACTGGAAAGGATGCATGAGTTTTGACACACAGTGAAGAACTGTAGGCACCAGCGGACACTGAGTCAATGCTGATGGCTCATCTCTCAATGAAATTCACAAACTACATGCTGGAGGTGTTTCCTTTGTTAATGCCTTTAAATCATTTACTACAAAGTGTGTGTACATCACAGTTTGTCACTTGCACAATTTCATACATTAACAGTAAAATTTTTTGCATATCCTTCAGCTTATCCATACTTGCAACATTTTCTAATCAGTTTTGACTCCTGGAAGGGACTTAAAAATAAAGCAAAGCCGCACAAAATATCCGCAGCTTTATTATGTCAGGAGCTCTAATCAAATAAATCTCTTTGCTGAATTAGCCCTCATTATTTTAAAATAGAGCCTGTGCCCATAAAGGCCACTTCTGTTTTTCATTAACCAATACTGCATTGACAATGGGAACTAAGCAGAACATTGTATTCAAAATGGAGCCATGAGTTATTCTGTTATGTTTTTTAATTGCAGTAATCTGATTTTTCAAATGTATATCCTCTATAATTATGGTTGAATATTCTTAGTAATATGGCATAGAAGTTAATTGTAGGAAACTTTGTTCCTCTTAATGTTTTCAAATAACATAATTTTACTTCGCTATCACCAGCCAACGCCCTTTTACCCTAAAAGCATTCTATCATGCCTTATTTTATGATTTTCAAGTCTCTCTAATGTACATTTTATTTATAAATCACCAATTTTTAAAAGCAATTCTGGAATGTTCTTAGAAGGATTTGTAATGTGAACCATTTTTAATAACACAGTCAGAAAAATGTAATATGCACTGACATCTGTAGGCAGTGGTCTTGAATCATCTTGATTGTGCAAGATTATTAAAAAAACTGTCGAGCATAATTCCATTAATTCAGCAACATTCACTGGCCCACCAAGTCCTCCACTAAGTATGAGAGCTACAGAGGCAAATACAACATGGGCTTTGCCCTTAGTGAGAGTTTAGGGAAAACAGAGAAGTAAATAATAAAATCAATGGCAATGTGTTAAGTGTTGTGACAGAAGTATTCAGGGGATGCTCAGAGAGTTCCCAGAAGACACTCCTAATCAGAGTGGAATTGGGCAATAGGTCATGATGTCAGGTAAGAATTTCAGATTAAGTGTTCTCCAAGAAATTGTTATCCTGAAGCACCAGGAGTCCTGAAGCAGCTTAACAAAGAGCCGATAGTGAGGGAGAGGAGTGGAAACAGGGGTCCAAGGTGAGGGAGCAGAACGTTCAATGGTCCAGAGACAATGCAGAGCAGAGTATGTTTAAGTTGCTTCCAGTAGGTCAGCGTGCTGGAGTAGCAGGTTGGTGAGATGAGGTAAGCAAAGATCAGATTATAAATGACCTTCATTTACTCCTTTAGTCACTCATTCATTTAATAATTACTGAGTGCCGAATTTGTGTCAGGCTCTGAGGATTCAGACAACAGTGTCCTCATGGAATATCCATTGCAATCCACATGGAATACACAGAAAACATAATAAACAAGTAAAATATGTTCAATATATAAAAGAGAGAAAGGTAATGGAGAAAAATGAAAAGGAAGAAGGGAAAAAAAGTATTCGAGGGAGTCTTATAAAGAGATTGCAATTTCAAACGGGATGTTTAGGTAAGGCTTCACTGAAAATGATTTTGAGTCAAGATCTGAGGATCTTATCTGCCTATCTTATCTGGTGGCAGAGAATTACAGACAGAAGGAATAGTGGGTATGAAGGCCCTGAGCCAGAAGTGTGTCTGGAATGATCCAGGAACAGACAAGAGGCCAATGTGGCTGGAGCAAAATGGTGAAGGATGAGCAGTAGGAGGTGAAGTTACAAGGAAAACAGGGGTTCTTACAGGTCATAGTAGGCACTCTGGCATTCAGAGCACAGCCATGTCAAGATCCAACCTATGTTTTAAAGGAATACTGGCTGCTACAATGAGACTAGACCAAAGGGGAGCAAAGGCAGAATTAGTAGGACTGATTAGGAGGCTTTGCAGTAATCCAGGTGAGAGAAGGTGGCTTGTGCCAGGGTGGTGGCATTGAGAAGTGAGTGTATGCTGGATATTTCTTGAAGGTAGAAATAACAGAATTTTCTCAGGGTTTGCATATGCTGCAGAGTGTGAGACAAAAGAGAAGAATGACTCCAAAGCATTTGGCCCAAGCAGCTGTTAGGATGGAGTTCTTATCAGCTGAAATGTGGAAGGCTGTGAGTGGAGCTGGGTTTGGGGGAAGGATGGAGTCATCATTCACTGAGATGGGGGAGAGCACAGAAGAAGCCCACGGGAACACAGCAAGTTTGAAATGCCTATTAGACTTCCAAGTAGATAAGTTGAATACACAGAATTCGGGGGAACAAGAAGGTGCTAGTTTTCTGTGGTCAGTGAGTTAAACAGGGATAAAAGACATGAAAAGATTAGTGCTGAGGGCCTCAGAGCAGAGGGCAAATATGAGAAAATTTCTGCTTCTTTATATGGAAGGTGGGGATAATAAGATTAAACGTATACTGAAGGAAATCACATACATAAAACAACTACCCAATGCCAGAAAATAGCAAGAACTCCAAAATATACCACCTTTCCACAAGCTGAAAATTCCCTGAGTGTAGTAAATGTTCCTTTTCATGGCTATATCTTCACTTACAGCAATATGAAAACACAGTAAGTATTCAATAAAGATATAGTGAAATATTCATAATTGTATTTCATCAAATAAATTATGAGGAATTATCACATAAATTATTACACAATAAAATTTCATTTAATCTTTAACTTGTCTCCAAACCCTTTAATAAATATGTAATCATTTTCACCATCTAAATGAGATGAAGAGTAACCAATTCATTTAAATGTGTATTATGCCCTCACTTTCCATTTTACCTTAATCTTTATTTTTTCATTTTCTTAGGGCAAATCTCTACATGAAAAAATAATGACACAGAAGTTATCCATCAAATTTGTTTTCTGCTTTGAAAATTATTTTAAATTTAGTAGGCTGGACAGGGAGCCAAGGTGGTGAGATAAAAATTATTCACGCCATTACACACACAGTCCCCTTCCCGACTGCTTCTTACAAAAGATAGACCCTAGAAAGGAAAGTCCATGAATGAATAGAAATGCAATTTAATAAAAGCAACGTGATAATGAATGGAAAAAGAAGTTAAAATAAATCAATAAGTAATTTAACTCAAATAAGATAAAGAACTATACAAGCAAAATCTGAGACTTGAGATGGTCATTCCTCCCAATAAATGCAGGAGTGTTTCTATTCAAGAGTAACGAGTAGATTTGCTCTTTTTTTTTAGATTCCACATATAAGTGACATCATATGACATTTCTCTTTTCCTAACTTATTTCACTTAGCATAATGTCCTCAAGGAACCTTAAAAAAAGTAAAGTAACAACTAGACTATAACTGAAAATACTTATAAAGCTGGTATAATAATACTATTATTAACAGTGATAACAATAATTAATACTAACAATAATTAATACTATTATAATATTAACAGCAGAGTGAAACTTTTCGGAGTCTATGTAAATCAAGAACAGAAAGGTATTTGGGTCTTTAAAGAGACTGACCCATATTAAGCAATTACTTAGAGTACTTTGATTAGCAATAAAAATTTTATGGGTAAGTGTCCAGTATTAGCATTACACTGGTAATAAACAATAGATAACGACAAAATAAACAATAAAAGAGGAGATGTTTAAAAAGAACCTACAAGAATTATATTCACATATTAACTGAAAGCCAGATCAATTTAATTGTGACAAACATCTAAAACGTCCTTGAGAAAAATGTATCCTATATAACATCCTTTAAAACTATGATACAATTCAAAGTGATCTAAAGAATATTGTTGAAGGTCAGACAAAGATACCTTACCATTCATTTCCTTGTGAAGGGTTTTCTAGAAGCACTCGGATTATGTATAATAAACAGCTTAATAATTTGAGAGAAAAATTGAACAGACGTATTCTTAGACCTTTAAACAAACAATAAAAAATTGATTTTCATTTGAACTTAGTTCACAAAAGACTAAAATGAGTTGTCAAAAATATCAACTTTAAGTACAGCACTTAAATTGCATTTAGAAACTACAACACCATAATTGTCTAAACTCTCTGAAGTTCTAGGTAGCTGATATTTAATTAGCTGAATATTGAAACAAAAAGTGAGAATGACAGAATTGATGTACTGCAAATGACAGTGACTATTATACACTGAGAGTAAATCTAGGTTTGAGCATTCAGAAGCTATAAAAATCATGTCCAATCAAGATTAGTTCCAATATGCTTAGAAGTAAGCATTTTATTTATCCATCAATTTGCAGACAAATTTTAGCTAGCTAGAAAATCTAGCTGGTTACAAACTCACAGAATAAGTTATAAATCTTATATCAGAACACCTTGTAGATTTGATTATAGAGAAATTATAATCATGTATACAATTATATATTACACATTTAATTAGTAATTACGTAATTACAGAGAAATCTGAATAGCATATGCTGAGAAATACAGACACATTCACACACATTTTTTAGTTCGACCAGTTGAACCTAACTTTTCACTTTAAGTGAAAATTTTTTTTTTTTTTTGTAGGAATTAAGACTGCCATGTATGTATCTTTGAAACTGTGTAGGTCACAGTTATGAAGCCTCTAATACTTGATTATAAAGAAGAGCAACTAACATTAAGCAAAACATGCTTAAAATCTGATGACTAGAAGCATCACCTTTCCCACAATTATCAGGCGATATCTGATTCATGCATCATAAAATTTTGAGAAAGGCTTTCCTATAATTATAACTTAATAAAATCTGGAAATGAAATGTCTTTTTTCTACTCTGCTATATGTGAGTGTACTTGAGGTAACATTTCTTAACAGTAAAAGGTTAATGCTTATTAATCGTGTAATTTTTCCTAAGTTTTCCTGTTAAAATGTTAGGGACATTTACGGGTTAGGCTCTTTAGAAAGTCTCTAAACTGTTAACGAAATTGCCCTGGTTTTATAGAACTGGTCTCCTGAAACGATGGCTTAGTCAAAGGTGGCTGCAAGTGAAGTGTTCAAATAAGGCATCTATCCTTTCTGGCCTAGAGAGATAGGACTGTTAGTATTAAAATCAAGAAAACCTTCTATTCAGATGATGTGGCTTGTTTAGGTAATATCTATTGGTGGGGCTTCCTTGGAAATTCTAAACAACCAGATTAGAGAACCAATAATTATTATTAGCCTTAACCCTGAAGCTAACTTACCATGAAGAGCCTCTAGCCAGTGTGCCTTACATATTGAAATATTCCCTACTGTCAGTATTTGGGTAACTTCTCACAACTCAGGCTTTTCTCATTGAGGAAACCTATGGAGGCACAACTTAATTTAGACCACCCCAAGAGGATTCAGGGGTCAAAGTTCAGAGACAGCAAAGTCTACACCAACCTAATATAGACCTCTCCATGGCTTGTTGACATTTTAAGCAATAATCATATGGAAAATTGCATATCGGTTCATTATACATGGCATTTAAAAATATATGGTACTATGGGGAGGTAACAAATATCATCGACATGTCAACCTTGAATGGGACTAGGAGGTCAGTGACTATGCCAAATTCATGTCCTCTTGACGTTCCACTGTTTCCCAAATTCATCTGATGATAAGAATCATTGGGGGGCTGGCCCCGTGGCTTAGGGGTTAAGTGCGAGCGCTCCACTACTGGCGGCCCGGGTTCAGATCCCAGGCGCGCACTGATGCACCACTTGTCCAGCCATGCTGAGGCGGCATCCCACATACAGCAACTAGGAAGATGTGCAACTATAACATACAACTATCTACTGTGGCCTTGGGGAGAAAAAGGGAAAAAAAGGAGGAGAATTGGCAATAGATGTTAGCTCAGGGCCGGTCTTCCAAAAAAAAAAAAAAAAAAAGAATCATAGGGATGTTAAACTGCACTTAACCCTATACTTCCTGATTCAAAATCTCCAGGGAAGGATGCTAGTAGTCTATACATTTCAGAACATCCTAAATGTTTCTTGTTTTTAGGCATAACTGGGAAACATTGAACTCTTCCTCACTAAATCACAAAATTATTCCCCATTAAGGTCAGTCAGTACAACCAGTGTCTTCTCAAAGTAAGTTTTAGGTGTCCCTCACTGTTAAAATATGGGGACCTCTCATTAAATTATTTTTCTTAACGTTTGTTCTAATTCAGATAGTCCCACTTTGAAGTCTACTTATTGGTGTGGGATATGGAAAATTAAATTACTCAAGAGGGCCGGCCTCGTGGCTTAGCGGTTAAGTGTGCACGCTCCGCTGCTGGCGGCCCAGGTTTGATCCCGGGCGCACACCCACGCACCGCTTCTCCGGTCATGCTGAGGCCACGTCCCACATACAGCAACTAGAAGGATGTGCAGCTATGACCATGCAACTATCTACTGGGGCTTTGGGGGAAAAAATAAAATAAATAAAATTATAAGAAAAAAAAAAACTTACTCAAGAAACCTTAACACCACCAGATGTAACATCCACAGCTTTCTAAAATCTCACTGTCTGGCAGACAAGATTATCAAGTTTATTCCTCTCTATAAAAGAGTTTTTGCAAAAGGACTGCACAGTTGGAATCTTTTGAGCTAAATAGATATACAAACACATAGACAGGGGAATAAAATGAATGACTTACTTGATCTCTGGTTTTTAATAAAAAATAACTTTAATCTCTCTTTAAATGTGTTTTCATTCATAAAGAATTCAACTTGTACCCTGCAAACAGAAAATAAAAACATAATTAATCTAAAGACTAATACTTAAGAAAATCAAAATAAATTACTTGATTGAATGCGTTGAGTGAATTCCCACCACAGAAAATAAGAATTGAGTAAAATACTGAACTTTTTAGATAGAAGCAGTTACTTTTTTAATTTTAAAGGTATAGTCAGTTCAAATATACGTAGTTAATTCAATTATCTGTATTAGTGGATGTAATGAGCGGTATGGATGATTCAAATCTGCAATAATGCAAAAGTCTTTCATACGTCTATGGAATAATTTTGAATCAGTGTTTTCCCAATTTTTGCCCATATCATAAGATTCAATTGGATGCTTGAGAAATTCAGTTTGAGCAACACTACCCCAAGTCTACTACATCAGAATCCTAAGGGACTGGGCCTGAAAATCCACTTTTAACGAGCCTTTCATTCCACTTTGACACTATTTGGGACATGACATTATGGGATACTTTACCTTCTTATTTATTTATTTAGGCTCAAATTAAAATATATATGGGTCAGTCAAGGAGTGGTAATGGCCAGTAGAATGTTCAAGTCACCATAGATAGGTTACAAACTAGACAAATCACTTAACTGAATGTTATATATTTGTTCCACTATAAAATAATATCAACAGACTAAAAAATTCTAATACATTCTAATACATACATTTGCTTTCTCCCTAAATTTTAGTAAACCGTCTCTCATGTGATAGGGCATAAGTAATATTTTCAAAACACTGAGTGAAAAGAAATATTGTGTTCAGTGCAAGGTGACTTGTTAATAATCATCATTTGAAATTTTCTTAATTAAATAGTCTCAAATATATGCATTATAAGTTAGGATTCCCAAAACAGCTAAGAAAGCATTTTAATGTTGATACAAACAACAGATTTATTTTAATTTTTCCTAATATCACAAAATTTTGATAATGTAATCCATATAAACTAGATAGTTGTTTTTTGTTTTTGCAGAAGTATACATGGGAGATAAAAGTGGAGAAAAAATTGACATATGAAGATGCTCATGTACTAGAGAAATACTTCACTACTATATTCTATGCTGTATATTGAAGAAGATTCATGAATATTTTAAAAGCTGCCTGTTGTGTCACAAAAGTAAAAGGACATTTGTTATCAATTGCAAACCAAGTTTTATCCATTATACCTTCTAAAAGATTTGAATGCTCTCTAACTTTATCTCTTATCCCTAAAGAAAACATTTCCATCCATAAACATTTTTTCATTCCTTTTCATCATTTTCTGATTTACTTTCCACATTTTTTTCACCTGATATGTAAAGTGAAAAAAAGGACAGAAATCAAGATTCTCTTTACTTGCTAATTTCTCCAGAAAGAAGCCATGAAAACTGCAATGATATCTTCCAGCAGAATACTTCCATATGCATGCCTATGTACATGCACACACCCCACACACATACACAAGCCTACACACTCACACATGCTACAAAAGTGGATGCACCCACACACAGACACAGAACTCCACTAGTATCTTGGAAATCCATCATTGGATCTGTTCCCCTTGTTTATCAAATGAAAAAGGCAGTTCATTTTAAATAAAGTTACTGTAATACTGGTATCCAGCTAAATTAGTTCAAATTTGCTATGGATACAAAAGTAAATTTAAGAGGACATATGGCTATTACACAAGTAATTCAGCAAAGGCCATGGAGATTTGCTTCCTACAATTATCAAATTTATAAGAATATGGGTCCATTCTTCAAGATAATAGCTGGAATTCAGTACTGAGTATTTAACAGAGGTGCATTTTTTTAACTGAAATGAGATCATCTAAAGCCTTGCACAAAATAATAAGGGATTTGGGAAGCATATCATACGTGGACAACTTTAAGGAACTGGAAATGTTTAGTCTAAATATGAAGAGTTAGCAGTAACAGAATGGCTGTCTCTTTAAACACTGACATGGCCATCATAATTAAAATGAGGTGACTCATAATGTGATGCTCTATTGTATAGAACTAATCATAGAGAAATATGAGAATTATGAATGAGATTACCCAACTTTGAAATGGCCATCATTGTGAAGTGGAGAGCTCTCCAATACATACAAATGTGCCAAAGACTGGATAACAGCTTGCAAGTAACTGGGTTTTTTCCTGAAGGTAAAGACAATTTTGCAAGATGTGAGGTCTCTCATTAAATGAATCCCAAATTCCCTTCTAATTATAATACTACATGAAGTAAAACTCTTAATTAATCTAGAGATCTCTCTGATTCAATATTCTCACTGAGGATCATGGATGATATTAAATTATAAATTTATACAAATGCTTTCTAAAGTTAGAGGTAAAAAAACAAACAAAAAACAAGCAAAACACTTTTTGATCCATGTCTTCTCTCAGGTACAGAAAAACGTCTGTTAGGTTTTCTATCTACAATATAAAGTGCAGCTTTCTTTTTTTCAATCTAATGACAACCCTTCCCAGAATCAAGGCCAGTTAGTGTTAGCGTACTGTTGTGGGCCGTTCCCCATTATCATCCAGTTCTCCAGTACTCAGGGATATAGTACAGTTTAGTGTGCATCCTTCCTAATTTTTTTCATGATTTTAAATATCCTCTTATTATTTCCTTTTCCAGATTTAAATGTGCTTTCACTTTCTTCCTTCCTTCCCTCCTTCCTCTCTTCTTCTCTTTCTTCCTCTCTTCTGACCTCCCTCCTTCTATCTAACTTTATCGGAATTTACTTTGATCAAAAACAGGTCAATTTAATGCACTCTTTCTAGACCTTCCCCAGAACATACAGTTCTGAATAATACACTAAGGTATATCTGACCTCATCACTTCTTAAAATGTCATTTTTTTCACATGTTTATACTCAAGATGAAATGTAGAATCATTTGGCCACATTTACTCCAATATAATAGTACAATTATAATTGTATTTAGTAAAAAAGTGGAATCATAATGATTACTAGGTGGTATCTATTACTATTGACATGTTTTCATTGTTTAATAATGCTATATTTATATTGGTCAACAACGTTTTATTGTTTTTCTTGGGTGGATATTACATATTCTGTGTGACATTTATTTCTGGGTATTTTATAATTTTTGTTTTTGGTATTGTAAATGGCTACCATATTGAATTCCTTTATAGGCAGTGATATTTTTTCAGGATTTTTTCTTCGGTTTTTTAGGCAGACAATCATGTCACCTGGAAATCTTCCCCAATATTTCTATTTACATTTCATTGTTCTTGTCTTATTACGTTGAATAGCACTTTTTGAAGAAAAAGATCAACTATCATGTGCATTCTTGTAAGAGAAGGCATCTTGTGCTTTAGCAGTAATTATATCATTGACCCTGGAATTGCAATATATATTTATATTTTACTAAAAATCATATCAGGGGTGGATGGATGTCAATTGTTATCAAAAACCTGTCTTGAATCTATCAAGTTGATGGTACACTGTTGGGGTTTTTTTGACACTGATTTGGTGAATTGTTTTAAGTTTTTTTATTATGCAATTAGTTTTTCCATTCTGGAATAAATTGTTTTTTTAATAGTAAACTATTCAGGTAATTTACTGCTGGATTCATTTTCCAATATTTTTAGGAGTTTTTCTTCTAAAGTCTTAACTAAGATTGATGCGCTATCATCTTTAGATTACTCTAATATCTTCTAATATGAATTGAAAAATTTTCCAGATTTTTCTATGCTCTGGAACAATTTTGATTACTATAGAGAATTTTTTTGTATATCCATTAGCAATTTGCCCTAACAGTATCCAGTGCCTTAACATTGATTTTAATTTGTTACCTTTGTTTTTCTGTGTCATTTTCCTTTCACTCCGTTGCTCTGGGTACTTGAATTTATTGTAAAAATCATGCAGGTTCTTTTTAAAGTGTAATTTTCTTGCTTCACTCTTAAAATTCTTATTCAGTAACTTTAAAGTAAGCTTTACCATTTTAACAACATAAAAAATAATTTTGACCCGGGTTGTTCCTTCAGAAGCACTTATTTTGCTTTTTTCATTAATGCCCTGGACTCTGTTTAGAAGGCCAAACTTTTGCAGAAATTCTCTTTTGGAACTTATAGTAGATATAGATCATTATCAAAGGAAAATTCTTCTTCTGTTTTACTTGGTGCTATTCCCTTCTTGCCTCCCTCTGATTCTGCAATATTGGCCACGGAATCCATGTTTGAGTTTTTTATTACTATACTCACCTCAAACAAGGCAGTATCTGCCAGGATTTTCTGGTCTCAGCAGGCAGGATCAGTGGATGAATGTTAGTTCTGCTCCCTCACTATTTATTGGTTGGTGGTTTTCCTTTGGAAAATCTACATCTGGATGGCAAGTTAATATACACATCTCCTAGTACAATTCCCATTTCTAAGAACTTTTCACCTGGCATCATTTCTGTGCTTTTATATTGTACCATCCTCCTAATTCCATGCTTGGTGCTCTGACTCCAGTGAGTAAGGAGAAAGATTAAAGTCTCTCCATATACTACTGCCAAGGCTCTCTCACTCCATCCTCACCACTACCAAACTCACAGTTGGGTTTATGGGTTTACACTTATGAGAATTACCCCTTTCCAAATGTATTACATTATTGTGTGTACCCTTATTTTCCCTAAAGTCATTGTTATGTGTTGAATTATGTCCCCCCAAAAGATATGTTGAAGTCCTAACCCCCAGGATCTCAGAATGTGACATTATCTGGGACTAGGGTCATTGCAGACATAATTAGTTAAATTAAGATGATGTCATATTGGAGTAGGATGGGTCCTTAACCCGATACAACCGGTGTCTTTATAAGAAGAGGGAAATTTTGACACAGACACAGACACAGAAAGAAGATGGCCATGTGGAAAGAGAGGAAAAGATTGGAATTATACTGCCACAAGCCAAGGAACACCTACCAGAAACTGAGAAGGCAAGAAAGGATTCTCCCCTAGAGGCTTAGGAGAGAGCATAGCACTACCAACAACTTGATTTCAAGCTGTTTACTC